TTTAGTCTGAAATCCGAGCTGAATTGAATCTATAATGTGGACCAGGCTGTCCACCGTGGAACGGCCGGGACGAAAGCCGTTCTGAAAAGGTGAAAGGCGATTTGGCTCAAGGAAAACCCAGGATAAAACGTTCGTTGACCAGTTGTTCGAATATTTTAGAAGCACAACTAGTATGAGAGATGGGGCGATAGCTCGAAGGGTCAGAGGGAGGCTTAGAAGGGTTAGGTATAGGAATGTGTGCTAGAGCGCCATGAGGGAGGGAAGGAGCCGTTAACCCACATATCGTTGAAAGCCGACAGAAGGTTGGTGAGTCCAGACCTAGTAAGATTTCTAAAAAAGGGGTAGACTAACTGGTCCTGGACCGACAGAAGTGCTTCCGCAATTACTGATCGCGAGGTCCAATTCATAGGGTGTAAAGAGTACGTTGAATGTCTCAGTGTTAGCAGACGTGAGGTTGAGTGCGAGCAGTGTGGCATTAAGTGTGCTAGTGATCTGTTGGGAATACTGCTCGGATGATGATACACGGGCGAAGTGTGTGGCAAATTTTGTGGCGACTTCGAATGGGATGCTGTAGTGCTGGTTTCTGACTACAAGGTGCGGGGTTTTATAATGTGGCGTGCGTTTGTTTGTGAAACACCGGATCAGTGACCACATTTTAGATAGAGGGGTAAAGCGGTTAAACGTATTTGAAAATTGCTCCCAGTTTTCCTGTTTTGCGCGTTTAATGATTATATCGGCTCTATGTTTATCTCTGCGAAACTCCTCTTCATCAGCTCTGCAAATGCAATTACGAAAGGCGCGCATAGCCCGGCGTCGCGGGGCTACTGCGCACTGACACTCATCGTTCTACCAGCGTGCATGTTTGTGCCCTGGTTGACGATGAGTGTGTGGAACGAACTGGTGCGCTGAGGCTAAAATAGTGTTTAGAAACGTAGGGAGGTCGAGAGTTGTGTCTGAAGGGCGTGCCTCATCTATGTAATTTTGGAAATATGCCCAGTCCGCTCTGCGAGCATTCCATCAGGGAAGAAAATTGAATTATATTTGCCCTGGTGGGACCTCTAAATTAATGTGCATCGGGTAGTGGTCACTAAAAAGCGTGTCTGATCGAACACTGTGCGTAAAGGGTGGTGCTATGCATGGTGTTGTTAAGGCTACATCTATAACAGAGTATGTCACTGCGCCTCCGTGGTGATGTGCACGCGTAGGTGTCAGTTCGTTGATACATATGAGATCATGAGTGTCCATGAGTGTGTGTAAAACTCTCCCCCTTGCTTGTGTCGTGCTACAACCCCATGCGCGACGATGGGCGTTCAGATCTCCAAGGAGACAGGGCGAGGGGCTTTGTGCGAGTAAGGGGAAGAGATCAGCTGAAGCGACAGGGCTAGTGGGGCTTATGTATATAGACAGAAGAGTAAGATCTAACCGCGCTTATTTTACGTTTATTGCAACTGAATTGAAATGAGTATTAAAATGAACTTGACGATGCAAAAGGTTATTTCAGACAAACAAAGCCGAACCGCCTCGGCGCGGGGTTTCGTTTACGTTATGTGTGTAGAGGCAATAACCGTTGATCTTAAAGCTATAATTAAAAGAATCAGAGTCGTTAAATAAGGTCTCTTGAACGGCGGCTACCAATGATTTGTTTTTGATCATATATTCCTTGAATTCTGTCCAATGGGATACCAGATCTCGTATTCCATTGGAGCAAGAATTCACCGAGCTGGGGATTCATTTAGGGCAGGGAGGGAGACCATCCAGCGGAGCGGCAGCGAGAGAGCGGTCGAGGGGCGCGACGGCGGGAGCGCGTAACGGGTCGGGCTCGGCGTTCGACTGAGGGACTGGTCCGGGGGGTTGGCGTCGGGAGCGCGGCGGCTGAGGCATCGGATGGGGCTTCTTGGGACGCCGGCACGAGTGGAGTGGACCAACAGTGACGTGTTGGGGTGGGGGAGAGGCTCTCCGAGTTTAGTGAGGCGGGTTCCTCCTCAGGGGGGCTCGCAGCCGCCGGGTTCGCTGTGACTGGGTCGGCTGGAGCGGGCTCGATCGTACGCAGCACTGGACGCGGCTGACCTGCTGGGGAGGGGCGGCGTGCTGAGGAGGAGCGTTGTGCTGAGGCACAACGCTGGTTCGATACCTCAGGCTCCTCAACAGGACGCGGAGAAGGGAGGGAACGTCGCCGCGGAGCTGGTGTTAGAGGGGGAGGAGGAGGGCTCGTCTCCCGCGGCGTGGGCCACTCCTGAGGCTGAAGCACTCGGACCGGTGCATAAGGCCGCTGCCGCTGCCTGCTGCTGACGCTCGCGCAGCGCCTCGCGCTGCATATGCCAAGCGGGACAGGCGCGGCGGTCCCCAGCTGCGTGCGGGTCTTTACATGTGGCGCAGTGCGGGTTTTCCGCGTCACACTCCCGCGTGTGATGAGGGTCGGCGCAGCGGCCGCAGGTCGGGCGAGAAGCTCGGCAGCTCCGGTCAGTGTGGCCGAACCGTTGGCACGTGCGGCACTGCTGGGGAAGAAGGACCCAGGCCTTTACCGGGATCATGAGGTATCCGCAGTGGATGGCACGTGGGAGCTTTAGCCCCCTAAATCGCAGGCGGACGAGTGAGTTGGGGCCCAGGCCGGGACGGCCGGAGGGCAGGCGCATAACCTCGCACACCCCTTGCTCGGTCAGCTCCTCTAGTAGCTCGTCGTCCGACAGCTCGGTGAGCTCTGGCTGTAGACGACCGCATGCATGGTGTTCAGGCGGTCTGCGATGATGGCTGTGACCGCCCGCCCCAGAAAACTGCTCAGTTTGAGCAGGGCCTTTGCCTGACGCTCCGATAAGAACCCTAACTAACAGGGCTCCCGAGCGCAGCGGTTTGGCTCCATCCACTTCACCAGTGTGGAGCTCGAGCTCCCGACGAATGGCAAAAGGGTTCGTCGTGCGGAAACTTTTTCTGTCGGCGTCCCTGATGAGCACGAAGCTCGGTCCTTCCGGAGGGGAAGTGGAAGGGGGTAGACAAGCCCCTCGCCGGGCCGGTCGCCTGAGGGGAGATGTTGATGACATCTTGGGTCTTAACCTTAAACTTGACTTAAATTAACTTATGAACTAGTCATTACAACGACTTAAAACCAATTAACACAATTATGACACACATTAGGCTGTTGTCAGCGCAAGTGCGGATCAGCTACCCGCCCCGTCGTCCTTACAGCGGCTGGCAGGTGGCAGCACTTCCTGGCGGCGGGAAGGGGCGGAGCCTAAACTATGGCGTGAGCACGGGACCCTCAACGAGAAATATACTAACTACTGTTTTGAAATCAAAATAGGCGAGACGGAACACGGTGAACGCTACCAGGGCAATGTGTGATGGAATCTCAACAAAAATATCCCCACCGCATTGCCCACGACGACAGCAAACTAACGCAGAAACGGAGCGAACTGAACCACGACCCCCCCCCCCCCCCCCAATCACGCCGCAAACTGGAAGAGCTGCCAGCAGAACCAGTGCAGTTTTGTTATGTCGCCGGAGCAGCACAGTTGTAACATTGCCAGATTTAGTCAAAGGCTTAGGCTATCAAGGATGCTAATTTAGATATTTGCTATAACAGATTGTAATACTTAGCCAAATATTATGTGTGTACCAATTTTTATTTGAATGACAGTATTGCAACAATCATTCACAAAAGGCAGCATACAAACTCGTGCCCGTACCAATTTCAAATCTAGTATACTCTGGTATTATTCTGCCGCCCGACCTGTTGTTATAAAGCTTGGGTAGACTTTAGTAGACTGCACATCGCCCAGGTGTGCGGGCCAGAATCGCGTGCGACAACCCGCTGCCGTCAGCTGAGTTAGGAGTTACGAACATTAGGGGTTGTGACACGCTAGGTCTTACGATACATTAGGTGTTATGATGTATTGGGAGTCGTGTTACATTAGAGGTTACGATCGTTACGGATTACGATACGTTGGGTCTTACGACACATTAGGTGTTATGATACACTAGGTTGTATGATACATTAGGGAATATCATGTATTAGGAGCTGTGTTATATTAGAGGCTACGAGCATTAGGGATTACGATATGTTAGGCCTCATGACACATTGGGTGTCACGATACATTTAGAGTCGCGATACATTAGGTGTTGTGATATATTAGGACTTGCAATACCTTAGGGGTTATGACGCATTGGGTGCTACGTACATTAGGCGTTATGAAGCACTGGCGGTTTTGATACATTAGGCGTTGCGATACATTAGTGGTCGCAAACATTAGGGCTTCCGATAGCGACCCGTTTAATGTTAGCAGCGCAGATGTGTGTTAATGTCAGCATGTTTAATCAAAGCACCCAAGAGCTACAGACCGATGTCACGGTTAAATTTACGTGTCCGTTTGGGCCCTCCGACCTCACCGATTCAATCAGGGAAACGAGACCGCCAGTGCGTCCCGCCCGTCCCCCCGTGCCCGCCTGCGGCCGCGTCCGTCCGCGCACGACAGATGCGCGCCCCGTCCGACGCCGCTTCCCCACTTCCTGTGGCGTGTTTGTGCCGCGTCGGTCGCGTCGGCGCCGGCGGCACGCGGCCGAGGGTTCCACGCGCCCCGCCGAGGGCGGCCCGTTCGGTCCATCGGGGTCCAGAGGGTCCCTCGGGACTCAGATGTTCCCCCGGGATTGACGATCAACGGCCCGATTACAGGGCTGGAAGGGCCGAAGGGTTGGCCGGAGGTCTCCAGTCCGAAGGACCGAGACCCTCTGATGTCAGAGGGCCTCTGGCGGTGACAGGGGCCCTCTGAAAAGGTTATTCACTTCGTTCGGGATCACCAACAATCGGCCCTTTGTCGGACTTAATTAAGCCCATTTTCCAAGCATGGACAAGGTCTGGGCCCACGAATTACATTCAGAAAACCTCGCAAGTGGCATTGGTCGGACTTCCTTTGTCGGACAGGATGGCCGCCACTGGCCGCGGGTTGCCGGCTGGAACGCGCGCGGTCGGGGCGGCGGCGCGCCGGCAGCGGCGGCGCAGTGGCGCTCGGCTAGCCCGCGTGTGACGAGGGGTGACGCGAGAGCTGCGCCGAGAGTGACGGGCAGCGGGCGACGAGCTCCGCTGCACTGCTGCTGTAGGGGACAGGTGAGGCTGGGTAGAGTAGTGAGAGAGGAGGCTGCAGAGTGTGGCGGGACACATCTTGAATTCCGACTTTTCTCCGTGTGTACTGTCGAGTTAAACAGGGGCAAGTGATGATTATGCTACGTTATGAATTAAGACATGGTGTTCAAATCAGATCTAAGTTGATATGACAAAAATGTTTCGACATTTGCATGCCGGTTGAAGTCGATGTTGTGAAAATTTCCAACCATGTGCTGTGCAATATCAAACTTAAAAGTTCTGAAATTATCAATTTAGATGCGAACTTAGTGCTCAGGCTTGTTGCCCACATTACAAAACTGTATATCCACTTTCTTACAAGGTTATTCGATGACGGTCGTTTTAAAGAATGATGTCGCTTTCAATGAGCCTTCGACCAGCGTCCACCCAGTTCATGTAGCGCCGGCGCGCTGGGCTCTGCCCAGCGCCGGCCCCGAGCGCGGGCCGGCTCCGTTGCGCCCCGGCCAGCGGCGATACAGTGCCGATTTCCCGGCACTGCGCGCTGCGCCGTGTCGAGTAGGTTTCACCGGGAGCCGGCCGGGCGGCGCGGCCGCTCAGCTGTGTGGCGGCGGCGGCGGCGCGGTCGGGCCAGGCTCCTCTCTTGGCGAGCGGCGAGCCGTGCGTCACTGCCGCGCCGCTCGCCAAGCCGGCGCCGGCGTCTCGCAACAGACCGCCTCGCCGCAGCCGGTGCCGGCCGCGCTTCTCAGTCGGACAGAACGTGTTGTTTCCGTGGAAGAGGAAGATATGAGGTGGGGATGAGGAGCACGGGAGTCATCGCCGGTCCCGTGCGGTTCCGTGTCCGTAGTGCTGGCTTCGGACGCTGGTTATGAGATGCAACCTGTCGCTGGGTCCCGGGCGGTTCCGTGTCCATAGCGCAGGCTTCGGGCGCTCGCCATGGCTTGAACCTGTCACCGGGTCCGGGTTAAGTAAGGCCTTGGTCCGGGGCGTTTCGTCATGCCGTCAGGGGAGCTCTCGTTACAAACTCGTCCGGCCAATCGGCCGGGTCTGGTGTCCGGCACTGGGGAGGGGAAGGGGGGCGGGAAGGGCTGGGCCGGGGCGCACCTACGCGGAATCCGGGCGTGCAGCCCATCTGCTCTGGATGCAGCGGCCCATGTGGTCCCCTGCGTTCGAAAAAGATCAGTGGCGGGTCCAGAACCACGCTCAGAGTGTGGAGCGTAACCGAAGCGCACTGAACCCTTGAAGACTCAATTTGTGTGTATTAATGCAGGGCTTCGAGGGCGTCAAAAGCCACATCATTGTGGATTGCGGGCTGCTGATGTGGGGTTTGTGAGGAAATGATGTCAGATTTTAGGGAATATTTTATACCTTCTCGGTGCTTTTGTAGATCCACGAAAACTGCGTTTGGAACAGCCATGACCTTTAAAACATCCCTGTGCTTTGACTCTCGTCCGGAAATGGCCTTTTAAGATCCTACTTTCCATGAAAGTCGACCGTTTTTTGGCACAAGGGAATCCCTCCATCTCCAATGGGAGCTGCATGACCCCTGCGACAACCATTTGGGCGCCAATTAAAGGTTCTGAGCCTACCGTGTTATATTTGAACAGCATATGAGAAAAGGTGTGGCATACTGTCCTGATCCATTTAAGTTTTCCCCCACAATTTGTTTTGTGAGATGCTATGATTTTGCGAGTATTACAACCCAAAATGGAATGGGCCAACCATAGCAGTTTTCTTTACTTTTCCTGGGGGAAGCAAGATGTAATGTTTTGCTTAAATAAGTGTTTTAGACCGACAGAATGCTCTGCGCTTGAAATACGGTCACGCTTGTGATGTCTTCTGCTGCGCTTATGATGTCTTCTGCTGCGCGGTCGCGGTGTGAATTACAATGCCGGCGAAATGAAAGCACCCGCAGTTGGCGGTGCCCTCTCCCAATAAGTGGCACGCCGACAGATATGCTTGTGCTTCAGTGCATGCGCGGAGAAGCTGCATCAAAACGCGGCGCACTGCTTCATTCACCGTTAAATAATAATGACATCCGATTATTGCACCCGAATTCACCACATTGCGTTTTTTCTCTTATCCATTTATTTGCTTTACGTACGATTTAGATGTCACACCAACCACGCGCATTTGGCCCCCCTTGGCACGCTGCGCTTCCCCCGCTCACTTCCGGCCATCCGTCTCCGTGCCCAGCCGTTACAGCTGGCGACTACCGGCTCGACACCGGAGCGCCCCTGAGGGGAGTCCCCTCCGCATGGCGCTCCCCTAGGCGTCGTGACAAAAGTCACATGTCCGCGCGGGCCTGCACCGCCCCCTTGTCGTGGCCTGCCGGTGAGAGGTCCAGGCAAAGATGGCCGCCCGCCAGCACCATTTTTATCCGACGTGGCGTGTTTGGCCGCTGTCGGGCTGACGTGCCGATGTTTCGCCGGCACAGCGTCGGCTGTTTTGCGAGCTTTGCTGTGCTTGTAGTTCATCAGGCAGTTCAGTGTGCACCGGGGGCGGATCAACAACACCGGCTTTGGGCGAGCAATGCCGGCTTGGGGGAGGGAATCAAACTCCGAGACGTTCTGATTCTCACGGGCATAACGGATTTCGCCTCGATGAATATTTTAAAGCCAACATTCTTGATTAAAACTGCTGAAGTTTTCGTCAGTCCAGAAATGTGCCGCTTTTTGCCCGCAATCCGCCATGGGAGGAATGGCCCGGTACTCCCCACCCCTACCCTCCTCCCCCGTGCGAACATTCGCCCTTGGTGCGCACACCGCGTCACCGATGCACGCATCTGCTCGGAAGGCGGAGCACCGGAGCACGCTTGGTCTGCCCGGCTGCGGTTTGGCGAGCCACGGCCCCGGGCGCGCCACTGACGTCACGGAGCGCTGCTGTCCGATCCTCGGGAGGGGGGGGGGGGGGGGGGCCGAGTGCCGGCAGCTGCCCACAGGCGTATTCGAGCTCGTGCTGGCCACGCGCCGACGCAGATTCACGCGCGGGGAACGCGAGAGGTGACGAAACCTCGCCGATCGCACTGGGAAAGGCGAAGAAGCAGACAGCCGTGCTGGTTAGACGTTCGCGAAACTGTCAGGGAGACCGGGGGCTGCCGCTCCGAAGGTTTGGTGTACCTGAAGGAAGCCGTCTCTCCTCTGCTGGCTCCGTGTGTTCGCTCCGTTCAGCGTTTCCGAGACAACGTGTACATGCCACGTGTGATGACGCACATCGATGCAAGGCGTTGTTATCTCTTCCCTGAGCTTACAACAGGTGGGGTTTTATGGAGTTGTACAGGACGAGTGATGCGCAATCGCTCGTTTAGCGATGGTCGAGAGCGTTTAGCGATGGTCGAGAGCGTTTAGCGATGGTCGAGAGCATTTTGGTAGCTGTTGTTGAAGTCGATAAACATGCGCAGTACCTAGGTTTGCGGCCATTGCCTTATCGGAAAGAGCGAGTTTGCAGTACGGTTCGAGAGACGGGTTTGAGCACCACGCACCATGACTGCTCGCCGGTTTGAGCAACATGCACCATGACTGCTCGCCGGTTTGAGCAACACGCACCATGACTGCTCGCCGCTTTGAGCAACACGCACCATGACTGCTCACCGGTTTGAGCAACATGCACCATGACTGCTCGCCGGTTTGAGCAACACGCACCATGACTGCTCGCCGCTTTGAGCAACACGCACCATGACTGCTCACCGGTTTGAGCAACATGCACCATGACTGCTCGCCAGTTTGAGCAACATGCACCATGACTGCTCGCCGGTTTGAGCAGCATGCACCATGACTGCTCGCCGGTCTCTCTAATCCGAGCATGTCCCATAGAGAAGACGGCTTGTTGTCCACTGTCACCCAGCTTGGGGGCAGAAGGGGTGTGTCGGGGACCGGACCGCGACATCTGGCCCGCATCCGGCCGGCTGGCGGCGACGGCGGTGTGCGGCCCTTGGGACCCATCCCGGCCCGTGGCAGACCGGTAGCCGGCAGCTGGCAGGTCGTCTGGTGCCGCGGTCGACACAGACTGACCGTGCCGCCGTTCCAGGTCGGTCCCATCCCGGGACCGGGAGCGCGGCGCCTGCCGCAGCCGCTTCACCCCCGAGAACAGTCAGCTGCGTCTCGGAGCCAAGCACCGGGAGCGCAGGCTCTCGGGAGCATGACCTCGTATCCCCGGCGCAGCGAAGCACCTCACGGGAGCCTGTCCGCGCCGCACGCGTCCAATTTATGGGCCTACGGTGAGGTGAGATGTCTTCTTGCCTCGGCCACCCTGCATCGATTCGCGTATTCCGTCCACGACCCAACTTCTCTCCGTGCCGCCTGTTCTTTCCGGTCTTTCCCGTCGGGGAATGGCAGACTTGCAGCATCGCTGTGACAGGCCATGCTGCGTTGTCAGCATGTGGTGGCCTTTTTTCGACGCACTGGGGACCGCAGAGTGTGACGCATACTGAAGAAACGCTGCGGTTGGGAGGCTGACAAACAATGGATGCTATCTTCGCCAGAAAATTCATGGGCGCTGAACATGCCGCAAAAAGAGCGAAGACGAGGCAATATGCAGTTGACATGCTACGCTGTCATCATATGAGGACCGTCAGCGGTCAAGATTGGGTCGGGTCTAAGCTGCGGATTGAGCATGGCGCCAAAGCTTGGGAGTGACTTAGCGTATCACGGGTGTAGTGCAGTTCGATGTTGAGACGACCACAATCAGATGAAAATTGCAGCAATCATACAGAGGTTTGTACTCACAAACTTGGACTTGTGGGGGGGGGGGGGGGGGGGGGGGCACCACGGGTTTTAGTTGGGAGCAGTATTTTCCGAGGGGCTCCCGTTTAAAATGGGGCGGGCCTCCCGCGCACCGTCGTCTTCAAGGGGAGGGGTACGGAGGGCATGTGCCGCCTTATCAAACTGCTATATACATCACATCCAAGTAAGTAAATCTCACAAATTAAAATATTTAGAACAGGTACCTTCGAATTACTTAGAAAAGGGTTTCGCTAACAAAAAATAGGATCTGCTGCTCCAGAAAGACCTTCCTGATACATGCAGGAAACTCGTAATCCCGGGCAGTGCTTACGATTCACGACGGAGCCTTCACACCTAGCCAAAGAGCCTCACTAACCCAAAATAGGGCATCCTGATCCGGAACCGCGGCCATATGATGAGTGAAAGACGCCTTCTGATCCAGAAATGAAGCTTGCTGGATATAGAGGTTGTCCCTAAACCAGAACAGGGGTCTCCTAGTTTGCAGCGGGAGTCTCCCAAGCCAGCAGAGGGTCACCCTGAGCACAACATTGTTGATCTAGAGCATTGGCTACGTCATTCATGAGGGTAATCCCAAGACCCAGAAAACGTGTCTCTTGGTTTAGCAAGGGCCTTTGGGGCCCTTTGCGCCCGAATTAACACTCCTTAGTTCATTTATGAGGCCCCCTCATTTGTACCTTGGTGCTCTTCTCGTAGCTACAATATCTCTAATTGGTGAAAAATGGCCCCATTTTTGTGGGGGGGGGGGGCAAAACTTGTGCTTCTAGGAAGAGTCCCTGGCTTCAATGAAGGCAGAACAACGGAAACGTCACCACTGTTGCCGTCCTCGGTTTAGTTGATCTTGTCGTGACCCTGCGGTCAACAGGGCTGTCATACCTTAGAGCACGGCCACCAGTGCTGCTATGCCATGAAAACACCTACAAATACCCTCCGATTGGGCTCTGTGTCACATAGCGTGTCAAGCGTCGCGGCAAGAAAATGTCGGTAACAAGAAAAAATAGCGTGGTTCCGATCTATGTGACTCAAACCTGACTTTTTAGGTCCTTACTTTTCTGTTAATAAAATTTGCTGTTTTGTTAGGGGCAATCCCATTATTAAGCAGTTTCAATGCTGGTGAACTCATAGGTTTCCTCGCAAGTAAGTAAAGGTGTATGAATAAAGTAACAGCCACCTTGACGGTCGCTGCGGGTCTCCGGCACCGCTGCGTGCCCTGGGGATGCGCGCAGTGAAAACAGGCCAGAACGCCGCGCGGTGTTTAAATTCGATCGCAGGTGATCGGCGTTTTTAGGCACGGCGACCTTGAAGGTCATTTTTCGTCAAAGAAGAGGTGGTGTGAACCCCGTTAGGTCAATCCTGGTTCACCCAACAATCTGCTTGTCCTGTAAGAACAGATTGAGCATGACATTGACGGTCTGGGCGAACATAATAAAGCAAGAGTTTCTATGGAACTGAACGCAATGAAAAAAGCAAAGGACGTAAAATCTTAGCTATTTCCTGCGAGTCTTAGCCCACTTCCAGAGTTGAGATAGGTCCAAATACTTTGTTCAATTGTGTAACCAGGATAACTTAATAAACTTCATTTGGAAAATCCAGAGAAGGACTGAAGCAAGATTAGGCCGGTTATAAGCGGTTAAGTCTACTGAAATAACTGAGGGCGGTACAAGACGTTTTGTCCAACCATGCACTGGCATTGCATGTTGTTAAATACCATGCAAAACAACTCAATAAACTTCCTACGACGGGCTCCCTGGTATCAGCGTAGAGAACCCCTGCGATCACCGTATCGGGGTATCCGCAGTCACCACCATTTTGTGTTGATGTCGGGCCTGTTGCCTTTGCTAGCTGTTGTAAAGTCGTCGCGCTTTTCACTGTCATGTTTCACATTTTTTGACAGATTGGGTTCTGGGTAACACCCTCTGTTATGTAAAGGCATTTTACGCTTGTTGTAAACGGAGCAACCAACTTACGTCGTTGCTGGTCCTGATCCCCTCCCGTAAGGCTCTAACTCAGTCATTTCCGCCGACGAGCTCGGCTCCAACGTCTGGTCTGGGTAAAACTTTCGTCTTCTCAGGGGCCCATGAACGGCGTATTGCTTCCTTTAGCGTCGGAATGATCAATTACGAAAGACTTCAACCCGTCTGGACTCTGAAGTGTTATCATCGATGCGAGGCTAAAATGTGTTGCAAAGCATAAAGGGGTGTGACACGCACTTAATTTTTCATTCGTTTGTCATAGCTTGCTAAGTGAAGCCTCACACTGCACCGGGCCCCTCAAATACTGGCCCTGACTTGTCAGATATGATGACATATCACAGGCCGCAGTGACCACTAGTATTTTATTATAGGGCTGCGGCGCATGGTCGCTCTCAGACGGTTGTCATTGAAGCATGCAGAAACGGGTGCGCACGTGCAATCTTTTGATAATGCCGTAATCGGTTAAGCTCTTGTTAGAGGCTACATAAAACAACGTGTATATATATATATATATATATATATATATATATATATACATATATAATACATACATATATATATATATATATATATATATATATATATGTGGTGTGTGTGTGTGTGTGTGTGTGTGTGTGTGTGTGTGTGTGTGTGTGTGTGTGTGTGTGTGTGTGTGTGTGTGAGAGAGAGGGAGGGAAAATATGCTTACATTTGGGGATATTGAATGGTTGTAACTAGCGTGGTTTAATCCTCTATAACCAGGCGGGGATTCCTGCTAACAAGGAACTCAACTTGGCATGCATTCGAGTAAATATGCCACCTTTGGACCCGGAATAGGACGGCGAATTTCGCACTGTCATGTTACAAGGAGTGTTTTACATTTACATGGGTTTTGAACTGAAATATCCATCTTGAAGATCTTTCGGTGCTGCTCACAATCCTGTCCCTCTTTAGACCTAAGGTCCTCGTCGTTTCTAAGCTACACGCCCGCGAAAATGGGGAAAGATATCGGGAGACTGGAGACTATGTCTGAGTCATCCCGGTATTTATGACGTCATAAAAACGTCATTCAAATCCTGCCATTCCATAAGGCATGCGGCGATCAAAGCTAGAAAGTTATGAATGTCGAGGCCGTCATGTCTGGCGTTTGTGAGTACGACTCCAGATATAACGACCGTCAATTGGCTCTCAATCAATGTTGTGCGAAGGACGACGACGTAATCAGACCATGACACATTGAAGAGCATATTTACTAAACAGAAAATTGTGCTGTCTAGACCAGTCTTTTCCATTTAAAAAGCGTACCAACAGTTATAAGTAAGCCTGTTTCATCATATCTGATGCTTGCTTTAATATCTTCAAATGTGAAACATTCTATTTAAGAGCTTGACAGGACGACGGGAAAAATTCAGCTTGGGAGTAACGAAAGATCAGCGACGGAGGTATTTAAAACTCGACGGGGCAGTGTTTTAAAAGGAACGTTACGCACATGGTCACGTCCCTTTTATGGAGCACCAGCGACAACATTGGTCACATTAGCGCTTAGGGGCTATGACGCAACCGGGTTATGAACCTGGGCCCCCACGTGGGAGTCTGACGCGCGCATCACTCGGCTATGACGTCCCCTCAACTGGGTTATGAACCTGGGCCCCCACGTGGGAGTCTGACGCGCGCATCACTCGGCTATGACGTCCCCTCAACTGGGTTATGAACCTGGGCCCCCACGTGGGAGTCTGACGCGCGCATCACTCGGCTATGACGTCCCCTCAACTGGGTTATGAACCTGGGCCCCCACGTGGGAGTCTGACGCGCGCATCACTCGGCTATGACGTCCCCTCAACTGGGTGTTTCAGGACATAATTGCCGTTCATTGTCTCCAGACCAAGTACTAGCCATGGCTTTGCGAATGCTTAACGAAACCTACCATTGCATGCCACGCCATCTACGTTATGATAAGATTGCCGACAATGATATTCCTCGTGACTGGACACGTAGCTGGCCAAGTGAAGACAACAAGCAATGTCAATTATTCAGGCTGCCAGTTTGACGAGGTCGTCTCGAGTTTGGGCGTGACATAGTCCCGTGTGCTGGGGTATTGTAGGCTCCACCTCGTCACGGCGCACCCTTCATTGACAGAACTCTTCACGCACTTTCAACAGTATAAGTCTGCGTTGGCTTACCGCGGTTCTAACCAGAAGTGCCACTGCGATGAAGCGGTGACCCTATCACTCCCTGCACACAGTCTTGCTGAATATATAGACAAAGTGAGATGTAAATGTGTGGGGACTTTGACACGTCGAACCATCCTACAAGAAGTTTGGCTGGATTGGCCCGTTGTCCTCCTAGCAACAGAGCCATGCTGACTTCACTTAACAAACGCTGCTGCTTGCGATTCCAGTTGTTCATAGCTTTAAAATGTGACGGGGAGAAATAAGCAACGTCGGTGCTTCCAAAACTGGGGATTAAACACGATAGCGATGGCCACAAAAATCAAGACAGATTTTCAAACTACAAGCCCGTTTGAAACCGCCGAGCGCTCGGCGCTCGGACTCCGTGTTTCAAGTCAGCTCACTCGGACAGCCCAGCCGTCTCCAGCGAGTCCCGGGCGCAGGCCGCTGCGCTGGCGCCAGCGGAGAGCGCTCTCCGGCGAGGAGCCATGAGTTCCGGCCCGCTGCCGGGCTGACCATCCAGCGGAAACGGGAACGGGAACGGGAACGGGGACGGCGCCGGCGGCGTGCTGCAGCCATGCTATACCGCAGCGGCATGAGCCGCGGATGAGCACAGAACGGGAGCGGAAGCCGTGTCGTACATCAGCGGCATGAGCCGCTGATGGGCAAAGGACGGGAACGGAAGCCGTGCCGTGCCTCAGCGGCATGAGCCGCGGATGGGCAAAGGACGGGAACGGAAGCCGTGTCGTACATCAGCGGCATGAGCCGCGGATGGGTAAAGGACGGGAACGGAAGCCGTGCCGTGCCTCAGCGGCATGAGCCGCGGATGGGCACGGGACGGGGGCGGAAGCGTGGTGACCCAGCCATGAGACGTGTGGCGCAGCGACGCATGTGGTCAAATGGCCTTGGTGCGGACGGCTCTGGAGAGTGACGATTTACGTGCCGGCGATGTTTGGTTGAAATATTGTTCGCGCCGGCTTTATGACTGAGGTATCTAACCAATTCGAGTGGTGCTGTCCGTCCGATCTTATAGTAGAGCGTCCATTTGCAATGTGGAAGACATATTGTGTTTGTGAACCCCAGTGGGTGTATGAGGTGCACGATATGTACTGCATATGTTCAAGATGTTACCAAACAAGTTATCATGCATTCGGTCACGTGGTTATCCTGGCTGAATCGCTTAATTCTGTCTGTCAAGCAACGATGATAGCTCAGCGCAAAAGCGAATTGCTGATTCGGTTTTGTATCAAAGTCCAGTGCGGGTCATCACATTCCGGACTCTCCTACCCCCCCCCCCCCCCCCCCCACCACGTGCTGACTGGCTGGGCCGCACTTCTGTATCTCTGAGAGACACCACGGAGGCGCCTTGACTCACAGCCCGCCGAGGGCTTTCCGTGTACCGGACATCCTCTGCAGATAGCGGTGCTGGCCGGGCTCGTGGCCGGCCCGTCCCGGGCGCAGCGATGTCCCGTCGCACCGCCATACCCGGACGTCGCCGGCGCCGGGTCCAGTTCTAGCCGGCGCCAGCGCAGCGTCGAAACCTGCAGCCGCACGTGCGGCGTGAGGCGTGACCTGTGACCCGTGACTCGTGACCGGTGACCGGTGACCGCTGGCGGGGTCTACGCCGTGAGTGCCCGTGACTGGTCGGGCCTGTGGGCCGCGCTCTCAGTCGGTGAACATCTCGCGGCGCTGCTGCCCTTATTGTCGATAAGATGGCTCCGCGTGACGTCACACTCCTGGTACAGAGAGGCTCCGCTGCGCGCCTGTTGTGCGATTGGTGTGCGATTGGAGCGCCAACCCCTGAGTGACGCTGTGCAATACGGCCTTTGAAGGCCCGGCTGCCAGCGTGGGAGCATGAAACGGGATCGAGGCCAAGCAATGATTTTCATCACGCCACCGAATGGCTGACGGCGTAAGCTTTGATTCTCCCAGCGTTCATACGAGAGGAAAGCCGTGGCTAGTCATTTTTTTTTTCTGTTTGTCCAATCGATGACAAGTTTTTCAATGCCTTACGTGAAATTGCGGTTTTTGCGCTATTTTGTGCTATATTGTGCTATATTGCGCTATATTGTGGCACCAAAAAATGGTGCGGCATCAATATCATAAGTTCGATTTATATTGATCTCAATTAATATAACTAAAGATCCCCAAGCGGCTTCGTCCACACACTATGCCGGACACGACGTTGCTTGCCGCGGTCGGTGACAGTTTGTGGTCCACTGTTGCTTGCGACGTGTAGCGAGCTATGGCCGATGTCTGTGGCATTCGGCAATCGAGTGCCTGTAGAGGGAGTGTGGAGGGTGTAATATGCATGTAACCAGTAGCATCCCGTGACCCTTGGGTACATGCGTCCGGTGGCAAACCGCAGACCGCAGACCGTAATGTGCGTTGGGGTTGCATGTACCAGCCTGGGCTCCGCGGAAGACAGTTCGATGTGTTGGCCGTATTTATAGAAGACGGATTAGTGACCTTTAGCAGCCTGGGGCTCACAGCGACGTATGACCAGGGTAGCATGTGGCCCGTATGGAACTGTGAGGAGCTATGACCGTAGTAACGTGAGATCTTTAGGGTCTCAGTGATCTGTGTAACAGCCGGCCTGTGACCTGCGGCGACCTGTCAGCCACAGTGCCAGCAGTTAGTGACCCGTAGAGACCTGTGACCTTCAGCAGCTTGCGGCCTGCAGGGACGTGTGACCTGCAAGGACCTGTGTCGTGCGGTGACCTGTGAGTCTGACCTCGTGTGCCGGCGTTTTCAGGGTGGCCCAGCCAGCTGCGCGCTGAGTGGCGTTACTGGCAGCGCGAGCCTGACCTGACTGACTGGAGCCGGCGTGTCCTGCCCGGTTCTGAGTCGAGGGGAGGCGACGAGGCGGCTTCAGAGGGCGCAGCGCCCACATCTGCCGGACAGCGGTGAGAGCGCCAACAATGAGCAAGATCAGGGTGTCGCCCGACGGGCAGGCCTTCTACAATCTCAGCCGTCCGCACGAAGCTGTGCATGTATTCATATGCGTGTATAGTCGTTTATGCAAATATTTTAGGGACACGGTGAGATTTTAATTCGCATAGCGCCTTGGGATTGGCGCTGAGTTGAAGTAAACAAACATTGGAGAGGAATTGGAAAACCACAACGCACAAATATTTGGAATGTTCACTTTTACTCACAAGGATGGGCGTTTTCTTGATTCTTACGGCCGCGACAGTACTGTTTGGGAGTGCGATAGTGCGGGAGTGCGGGAGTCTCGCCGCCCCGTTCAAGTATTTCTATTTTGGGAATATTTGCGTTGCTATTCTTAGATCGTAGCCGCCGACACGTGGTCACCGGGGAAACGACATTTGTGCAGCGCCGTGTGCGGCACTTGCCATTGGCGGGTGTGTGCTCTTGTCTCCGCGCGGTGATTAAATAGAAACCTGCACAAGTATGTGGGAAGAATGCCAGCATATACAATAATCAACCAGTCGACTGTCGTCATCACAGTGTGCCCGACGAAGCCTGCTTCTGTAACGTGAGCGGTGGTTGTTGGAACGCTGCCACTGCTCTTGCTGTAATGCTTCCAGTGGACAGTACCACTGGGGGGACAGTACCGCAGGTGACAGTCATCCGAGCTCAGGGTCGGCAGCGGGGCCGCAGTTTCTGCGCCGCCGCCTGTTCAGCTTCGCTCCACGCAGGGCACGTGGGTCTCCCCCCCCCCCCCCTCCCTCCCCCGACCGCCTCCGAGCGACGCCGGCTCGCCGGCGCGACTTGTGAGGCTGGCGAGAGCGGGCGGCGCTGTCGGCCCGTGCAGCTGCGCGCGTGTCCCCGTGCCCCGCCGTGCGGGGCGCCGCTCCGCTGAGTCACGACTCAGGGATGAGTCACGCCGCCCCGTGAGATGCGCCTTGCACGCCGACGGGAGCCGCGCGTCGAACGGGTAACGGACGTGAGCAGTCGTCGCCGCTCAGTGCAGGCATCCCTCCATAGTCGGTCCGGGCACGGGAACTCCGCTGGCGGGCACGACATTGGAGTTCGGTCTTGCCGTCTGGTTTGAGGCGAACACGCCGCAGGGCCGGAGCCGGGCCGGCCAACGGCCGTGCAACGACCCGTGGCCTCCCTGCACTAGATCAGTGTCGGTCGAATGTTGTCCAGCAGCAGTTTCGAAAGAGCTGGTTGCATGCGCATGCACCCACGTGCTAAATTTGGCATTCTGATATGCTCGAGATTATCTTTGAAATTCATGTGTCCCGCACTCATCACTCTTATTTTAAGTAATAGGTCTGGTTGGAAGTGTTATTTCTTTCCACTGTGTCCGATCACAGCTTTAAAAAGGCGATGACCCGGGTCGGAAGTGCCAACAAATCCCTGGAATTGTATTTTAACATTCAGCTGATTCCGGCGGTCTTGAATTAGCTGGCGTGAGAACTGAGGCCGAAAGTCATGAATAGCATCATAAAACGGCTGCCAGGGTACCTGATAGCATCGTAAGAGTACGATCAAGGTGTTCCAAGCGCCCCCCCCCCCCCCCCTCACCGGCGCTCGCGCGGAAGCGCCGGCGTCGCGGCGCGGGAGGCGGAGCGGTGTGGGAGGCGGCGCGGCGTGGGAGGCGGCGCGCGCCGCCGGGTCATTGGAGCAATGGCGCCGCGTCCGGCCCGGTCAGCAGGCATGCGGGTCAGTGGTGGCCCCCTGATGGATCGGCCGCGTGCACGGCAGCGATGGCTGGCCGCTCCATCACGGCCCGGCTGACGCCGCGGCCCGTGGCACATGGCGCCGGCACGCCGGCGCGGCAGGCTGACGCCGCGGCCCGTGGCACATGGCGCTGGCACGCCGGCGCGGCAGGCTGACGCCGCGGCCCGTGGCACATGGCGCTGGCACGCCGGCGCGGCGGGCTTACGCCGCGGCCCATGGCATGGCGCTGGCACGCCGGCGCGACAGGCTGACGCCGCGGCCCGTGGCACATGGCGCTGGCACGCCGGCGCGGCGGGCTGACGCCGCGGTCTGCGCACAGGCTTCAGCACTAACGAATGGCGTTTAACCCTGTTTGTCTACCTCTACGACGGGCCGACGAAATAAATCGGGTGCTGTAGACTCTGCCGACAGCGGAAACGCCCGTCCACCATCGGGACTCACCGTCCGCTCCCGCCGGCAGAGTAAGCGCCCGTCCACCGTCGGGACTCCCGCTCCCGCCGGCAGGGTAAGCGCCCGTCCACCGTCGGGACTCACCGTCCGCTCCCGCCGGCAGAGTAAGCGCCGGTCCACCGTCGGGACTCACCGTCCGCTCCCGCCGGCAGAGTAAGCGCCGGTCCACCGTCGGGACTCACCGTCCGCTCCCGCCGGCAGGGTAAGCGCCCGTCCACCATCGGGACTCACCGTCCGCTCCCGCCGGCAGGGTAAGCGCCCGTCCACCATCGGGACTCACCGTCCGCTCCCGCCGGCAGGGTAAGCGCCCGTCCACCGTCAGGACTCACCGTCCGCTCCCGCCGGCAGGGTAAGCGCCCATCCACCGTCGGGACTCACCGTCCGCTCCCGCCGTTCAACGCCAGCATACCGAGCAAGATGAACGAGTGGGTGAAGAAGATCCGCTCCTCGGTGCAGTCGGTCGTTGAGGGAAAGCGGAGAAAGAGCGCTCCGCCGTCGACCGGCGAGAGCAAGGTATCAACGTGTGCTGTATAGCTCTTTAGCTCTTGGCGATGTGCATAGGCATGGTGCGCATCAAACGTACCAATTGGAAACATCCAGAGGTGTCTATACGCTGTCGTTCAAGCCTAAAAGGTTTGTGTTTTCTGAAGCAATCAATTTGCTTTGTCTGTTTCAGGTTAATAACGTTGTGGCCACTTGGGCGCATACAGATTCGCTGTGCAACTTAGCTCGGGTTTTACAAGAAACGGGCCGGACGTATTATTTGGTCACAACGCATTTGGCACTAATTGTTCAAAACACATTAGGGTGGGTGGGGTGGAATGCTAATAACATGAGCCAATAGCTCAGTGTCATCCCTAGCGGAGGCGCGTCACAAGCGTCGCGTGTCTGGCCGTTATTTTTACACTTGTTCGCTCCACTGAATTGCGAGTCCGGGAACGCTTCCGCCTCGACCTCATACGACTCGGACGTATTATGTTGCATGTGGAGAATGAGTCAGTGAGATAATTTTTCCTTGTTTTACGTGCTGTCGGTTCACAAAAATCAGTCAAAAATAATCAGTCGACAATACCCAGCACACAGTGGTCGAAGAAAACCAATTGTGTGCATCACAGGGTGTTTTAGTTGAAACATTACGTTTGAAAAGGCTGCGATACGGATAACAAAACATCTTTTATCATTTTGCTTTATATTACAGGTGGTGAATATTCGAATATCTTTTTTTGTCATGGCCAGTGTTCATCTGCGTAGCAAAACGCCTCCACCACGGCCCCCTGAACTGAACGCACTTCCTCACATTCCAGAATGACCCATACCTGCTAATGTCTTGCAAATGGCGTGTCTAGCCACTGAGAGCAGGGAGTGGAGGCCCGTATCTCTAGCTTCCAGATTATAATGATCGCGAGACACCCTGAGACACCAACCCAAAAGTCCATGCATTTTAGCAACATTTGCCAGAGAGAGCGCGCGCTCGTCTATCTTGCACTTTTTTGAAAATGGTATTTAAAGTGAAACACCACGCACAGAGATGTTCTCCAGTCTGCTTTACAAAATGTGTCCGTTCATTATTGCGAAACGATCACTGAAGACGGCTGACTGGGTGCTAACAAAGGCCTTTTAGATTGTTGCGCATCGCTGTCAGCTGCTCTCCTCGCCTTTTGCTTAACTACGCGGGGGAGAAACAGACGACGGTGGAGTTGATTGCTTCACACGTTAACGATCTCGTGACGTGGCCAGCCGATTCCCGCGGCAGTTCGCGGGGACGTGGCGCTGCCATTACCGCTGCTGAATGTGTTAGTTGTGCGGCGGGAAAGGACGGGGTGAGGTTTTGCCTATTACGCTGTCAAGAAACCCTCAGCGCGTGGTTTCTGCCATAAAGCGGCTGCGGTGGGCACGCATTGTGTTCATTCCGTCGTCAGCCTCCGGGGGCGTCTGGCTTGTCGCGTCGGTATTCTAATGCGCTGGTTCGCCGGTGTGGTCATTCGTGATTTCGCGATTGCGTGCTGGCTTTTGGCGGTTCGTTGAGGCTGCATTCGAGGATGGAGTCATGGCATGGCCCTTCCGCGCTGTAAGTGCAACTACGCTGTGCTACCGAGCAGTCATCCATGATGATGACTCCCTTGAGCAAGCAGCCACTAGGAGCGATCATGACTCGATCCAACCACAGAAAACAAAGCATGTTCTCGCCTCTCAATGGGATGGAGGAAAAAGGATTTACTCCGTAACTCATGCATTCAGTTATCGGAGTTGAATGCCACGTCGTTGTCTTGCAACTTTATTATTTGCAGTACTGTTGCCGTGCGCCCTTGCTGTACAGTCCCACGTACTCTTGCTATGTATTTGGTCTTTATTGTAGCCGTCTGGCGCAATTTGCAGACTCACATGCCGGTGTGATTCAGCTCTTCTGTAGCCCTCTTCCGTTATTGTGCAGTCCTCCATCCTGTTATGATCCATCGTCCGGTGCTCTAGCCGTGTGCCGTTGCTGTGCACTCCTCCCGTGCTCTAGCCGTGTGCTGTTGCTGTGCACTCTGCCCGTGCGCTAGCCGTGTGCTGTTGCTGTGCACTCCGCCCGTGCGCTAGCCGTGTGCCGTTGCTGTGCACTCCTCCCGTGCTCTAGCCGTGTGCTGTTGCTGTGCACTCTGCCCGTGCGCTAGCCGTGTGCTGTTGCTGTGCACTCCGCCCGTGCTCTAGCCTTGTGCCGTTGCTATACACTCACCCGGTGCTCTCGCGATGTGCCGTTGCTATGCATTCCTCTGGTGCTCTAGCCGTGTGCCGTTACTGTGCACTCCGCCCATGCTCTAGTCGTGTGCCGTTGCTGTGCGCTCCTGCCGTGCTCTAGCCGTGTGCCGCAGCTGTGCACTCCTCCCGTGCTCTAGTCGTGTGCCGTTCCTGCGCACCCCGCCCGTGCTCTAGTTGTATCCCTTTGCTGTGCACTCTGCCCGTGCTCTAGTCGTGTGCCGTTGCTGTGCATTCCTCCCGTCTTGATGTTGCGTGTGTTGTCCGCGTTGCTGCTGTGTTGTAGGCGCGCAATGATGCGCTGTTTAGGCGAAAAGGTCATATGCCATTACCGTGACCGCGCGCCGATGCTATAGTCTCGCGTCGTGACTCTGCGCCGGTGCTGTAGCCGCCTGCCGTTGCCGTTGACAGCCGGATTGGCAGCGGGCGTCGGAGCCGGTTGAGCTGCCACCGCCCCAGGGACCACAGCTGGCCAGCCTGACCAAGCAGCGGGCGCGCGGCCCTCCCCGGCGTCGGCCCTCGCCCCGCTCCGTGCTGCTCGAGCCGGCACGCACGGCGCCTGCCGTCGGCGACGACGACCCGTCCAGGTTCGCCTGGGGCTGCGACCCCTCCATCGACCCGGCTCTCTTCTTCAGCGACGTGCTCGGCCGCAGCATGGTGCGGACTAACGGCACGGCATGCGGCAGCCACCAGCTCGCCAGCATAGGCGAGGAGCACGCCGAGGGTGACGACGCGCGCCTGCGGGCGTCGCGCGCCGAGGCAGAGTCAGCGGGCGTAGAAGGGGTGTCGGGTGATTCCGCTGGCGCGTCGATAGGCGGTGATAGGGCGTCAAAAGACGCTGATAGGGAGAAAACGTCCGCGGGGCGGACGTCAGTGGGTGAGAGGGTCTCAGAGGGCGCGAAGAGGGTGTCGGTGACGTCAGAGCTGTCAGCAGAGGGGCAGGGGCCACCGTGTGAGTCATCGGGAGAGCCACCAGGGGTCGCGAAAGAAGCTGCAGGGACCGCGAAAGGGGCCCAGCCGCCGAAGGGCGACAGGAGTCGGGACAGCAGCACGACAGTTCTGAGGCTGAAGGGGGGTGAGGTGGAGGGAGCGCCGCCGCGGAGGTTGTGCACTATTCTGTAGTGACGGCGGCGAGCACTGGGACCTCCGATCTGTCACTAGTCCCAGCCGCCAGACGGGAAAGGGCGATGAAAGGTAACTGTTTGGCTACCTGCGGTGATAACTGATCGTGCGGTCGCGTTTTTACAGGCTTCTTCACGGCCAATCATTTGTATATGGTTCAGGTCAGTAAGGTCTTCTCGCCTTGTGTTGAAGTTACCATTTACCTAACAGCTTGGTCTTCAGACCGTGACCGGAGCTTATCACCGTCGATCACTGCATTGTACGTCGGGGTCGCTAAAGACAAGATGAGGTGGGAAAGCTCATATCACAAATATGAGTTCTGTCTTGCATTCGGAAACGGGTAAGAACACAAGTTTCTAGGATTTATAATAGCAAGCACCCACTAGTTTAGCGAAAGGTGATGTGTTCTGGTGTAATGGGCTAGATAATACCTTTGATGTTCCGAATAGTTTCAGGCGATGCGTTATGTTTGCGATGTGCAAGTAAGGTCGCAATTAAAAGCGTGTCCATACCAAAGGTTCCAAGTGATACGAATGGCTTTATCGATGTCAACCAAAGTGATAAACGAATGATGTCACATCAAGACAGTGTTTGTTGTTTGTAGATAGAAATGCCGGATAGACGTAGAAATAACTTGTATGCAGTGCGTATCCTGTAGATGTAGAAACGCATGCCATTAACTCAAACGATGTGGATATGTACCTTCTTTTCTGCGGTATATATCGAAAACCTGGCCTGTGAAGATGCCACTTCCCCTTCTCTTCGTGTAGCCTCGAGCAATGCACGTTTAATACACTTGTGCTGAATTGGTTTTTACCTTTCTGAACACCCGTCTGTGTTTGCTGGCTCGGTGGGAGCAGGTCGGAGCATGGCCCCAAAAATGACGTCTGCCATCCGCTCCCTTGGCCGCAGCCTGGCTGCCTTACATGCGTCGCTCTGCAGCTTCTCATCTACGATGCCATCTGCTGGGAGTTTGCCCCACCCCTCCCGATGTCTGCCCCACCCCTCCCGATGTCTGCCCCACCCCTCCCGATGTTTGCCCCACCCCTCCCGATGTTTGCCCCACCCCTCCCGACGTTTGCCCCACCCCTCCCGATGTCTGCCCCACCCCTCCCGATGTTTGCCCCACCCCTCCCGATGTTTGCCCCACCTCTCCCGATGTTTGCCCCACCCCTCCCGATGTCTGCCCCACCCCTCCCGATGTCTGCCCCACCCCTCCCGATGTTTGCCCCACCCCTCCCGATGTCTGCCCCACCCCTCCCGATGTTTGTCCCACCCCTCCCGATGTCTGCCCCACCCCTCCCGATGTCTGCCCCACCCCTCCCGATGTCTGCCCCACCCCTCCCGATGTCTGCCCCACCCCTCCCGATGTTTGCCCCACCCCCCTCCCGATGTTTGCCACCCCCACCCCTCCCGATGTCTGCCCCACCCCTCCCGATGTGAGTGTGAGCGTGTTTGACAGAGCTGACCACCACGACTGTCTTACTGAGAATTCTGTGGAGAAGCATATGATATGTGTAAGCCTGCGCTGGGTGCAACTCAGCTACGTACAATAGCATATGCTTAAACCTCCACCATCCGAGGCTGGAGCCACCGGAACCGCTGTACTGCGGATAACGCCGAAAACGCATCGGACCCTGGATCATTTAAAATGGGTGCTATATGGCCATAACGCTGCTGTCATCTAGACAAACACTCCCCATCACCCGTCAGTCCGATAGCTGTCTGGAAGGCCAGGGGCCTCAGGCTGCCTTCCAGTCAGGAGGGGGTCTGTGATGCTCAGGTCCTCGAGCCGGAGAGCATCGACGCCCTGCGGGCAACCCCAGGTCATCCCAAATCAGCAGGGGGCACGCCGCGGCCGCGGCGAGACGCAAGGGGACACTCTCCCCTCACGCTCGGCTGCGGGGCTGAACGACTTGACCTCCGCAGCGTCGAATGCGCAACATCGGACTTAACTCCCGCCGGAGACGTGCGATGATCTCATGCACAGCTCTGGCAGTGCCGAGCATCTATGCTTGCCATCGTCCTCATTTCCATCACCGCTGCACTGGAACTGACGTATGCCCGTGTCTGTGAGGAGGCACAAAGAACAATCTTGAGAATTGGGTCCACAGATAGAGCGGCATGCCGCGTACCGTTCTGACGAGCATGGGCCGCTTCATGGCAGCACGCTGCCTCGCTGTAGATGATGCCGTCGCCTTGCTGTCCACGTCCACACAGGGTCTGGGGCTGATCTGCCAGCAGGGCAGGCCTGTCCACGTCCTCACAAGGCCTGGGGCGGCAGGCCTGCCAGCGAACCCAGTGCTATCACACCCCCATCGATGATTCCGCCGCCGTTCGACCAAGCGGCTCCCAGCAGATAGCGACGCATTCATTGTTGGGCTCGCGGATAAAGCTGGCGAGATTTCAGGAGCGAGCTGGCCGGCCCACCATCAGTAGGGCCGACGCGTCTTGCGCCGGCCTGCAGGCCTCCAATGTTGATTTCCGGCTGTTGCTTAACATACGGCCACACATATTTCTCGGCGCGAGCCGCATAAACCGTCAGGAATGTGGCGCATTTCCGGGTAGTGTCGCGGCTTTGGAGAGAAGCCTTGGATGTGGGGATGCAAGTGGCAGAGTTTCGATAAAACGGGGTTTTGCTTCTTTTAGCTTTTTAAGATGGTTGGCGCGAAGTTCCCTTTGGAAGCAGCTTGAAATGAAAGTGTAGGACAATATACACAAAAGGGAATGGAGTTTCACCGGCGCTTTCGAAGAAGGTTTACCATCTGCGTCGCCTCCATTCAGTGAATTTTGGGTCCAAAGGTGGGTGCTTTGCGGAAAGCCCAATGAAGTGTTGTGAACTCATCTAGTCGTTATAGCAAACGTTTCAAAGCGTGGATTTTCACCATTGATACTAGCTGGGAGAGCCCAGACTGGCGCCAACGGACGGTTCCGCCTCAAAGACCGTGTGCTGCGAGTATTGCTTTAGATCTCTCACAAAGCCAAGTGTGTCCACACGAAGTCTCATCGATGCGCCGTACGCCGTGAGCTCAAACAAATTTTTATCAACGAAACTTGCCGCTCGCCCACCGAAAAATGTCCTAAACTGACTATATGTCTCTCGTCTCCATGGCTCTCGCTGGTACGGGCTTATTTTGTTTCCCACTGGATATCGCCACCATATACCACCTCCCACGGGCTTGCAATCTCCTAATTCAGACCAACAACCTGTAAACACAGTATTCTCTCGCTCACTCCTTCACTCTCGCGCTCGCTCACGCCCGCTCTCTCGTACGTTCCCTCACTCGCTCTCCCACTGTCTCGCTCCCGCGCTCCCTCGTTGAGCTATCGTGTTCTCTCCTAACACGAGGGAATGGGAAGGGTCGTGTTGCCTAGTCCACGGCGTCTCAGCTCGGCCGGACTCCGACCGCCGGGGTCGGCGGCGCGCGCCACACGGACGCCACCTGTCGCCGCACTGCTCGGCCGCCCGAACCCCGTCAGCGTGTCTGCCCCGCCGACCGCTGACAATGGCCACTGACGGAGTTCTGGGCCAGCACAATGTCTCTGATGCCCTGCCTGCTTACTCGCCTCCGCCCTCGCCGCCATTAGAGCCGCCAGCAGTCTGCCGGAACCGGTGACTTGCGCCTCTCGCCTTGTTACCCACGGTGACGAAAACATTAGTCGTGCTTTTGCTACACGTTCAGCAATGGCTGCCGTACACACGGGTGCTGTGGGGACTCATGCCTGAAGGCTCGTCGTCCTGCGCTGCGCCGCTGCTCGGTGCACCTCTGTCGCCATGGCTACGGTCGGCTGGCGGGACAAGTGGGCAGAAGTGGCCGCGATTGGATGAGGTCAGCTGGCTAGTCAGCACAGCTCGCCGGCGGCGGCGGACGGATGGCTTCCCCTAACCAGGGCAAGCGAGCTGGCACAGGCTTTGTCAGGCAGTGGTCGCTGTCAGGCTGTGAGACCTGACAGATTCTGTGGGATTCTGACGGTAGCGGATTATCAGACTGGGAGCGGTCATGCTGCAGGGGGCTGACAGACTGCGCAGGGTGTCGGACCGAAAAAGCAGGTATGACAGGGTCAGATTAAAGGAACTGTCGGACAGTATGATGAAGTTTAAGACCGAATAACTGTCGGACTATAAACTCTCAGAATGTGAGGAGGAATTTGCAGGCTGTGGGAACACTGATTCGCCTGGGGGATTGCCAAACTGCGAGAACTGCAATGATGTGAGATGGTTTTACTACGGAAGTTGTCAGCTCCTGGGTGCCAGCTAAGCCTTAGGGTACAGACGGGGCTGTCAGACAGCAGCGGCCACGGACGCTGGACGGAACGTCTACAACTGTCAGGTCCTGGGTGCCAGCTAAACCTTAGGGTACAGATGGGACTGTCAGACAGCAGCGGCCATGGACGCTGGACGGAACGTCTGCTGTAGTGAACTGGAGTAATGCCGTTAACATTCCGTATGCATCTCGTATTCAGTTGCGCGTCGTTATTAACATAGCAGGCCTTATTTCGGTAATTTCAAGTACGTATGTCCAACTTCTTGTATGCAGTTTATGTAGCACAAAACGTGATTTCTGTTTAAGCATCCGGCCCTTTTTCCTTCTTTTTTTTGTGTTTTATCTTAAATCCTCCCGACGCCCTGCTTACCTGGGCAGGCTTCATGCTTCAGCGACGAGTGGGCCGAGAGGCCTCCTGAAGGGCAGCCTCGACCGGACGCCCAGCGCACACTCCGAGTGGTCCCTGCCCTGGCCAAGGCTCGGTGGTTGGCTCCCAGGCGCATGTAGTCCTGTCCCACCATTATTTATTCTCCTTCATCCCACAGCAATGAAATGATCACTTCTGGTCCAAAGGGCTCTAATCCAAACAACCAAATCATATCAGTCCTGTGCGAAACTCGCATTACCTGCACAACATTGAATGAGAGCCCGCTGAAGCACGTTATATCTGGAAAACCATGCTCAAAAAGCTAGAATGAACGATTCGACGGTTATATGCTGCTTGGCATTGAGCGCCGTATGGCAAATGGGGTATCAGTATTTGAATGACGTCTCTGTAGCGCCATGCATTCTTAAGTGACCGTGAAATAGTCTGCGTGAGAAAGTATTTCCATCTTCGTGGGCGTGCAGCTAAAAAACTAGAGGGTTTAAGGTCTTGAGAAGGACAGGGCCGTGACCTGCACCGAATGGTCTTCAAGATGGCTATTTTAGTTTAAACTCCCATACCAATGTGAAACACCTTCATAAACCATTACACTGCCGGTATGCCCGCATGTGCCGGACGTAATTACGCGTTTGACTACGTGTGAAGATGTAGTCACACCTTCACTGTGCGTTTCATTACCGGGGATCACAAAAAAATTTGCGTGTCCGGCATGAAATACACACGACACAACATTTAGCATTCGCTGTCGACCCTCGCCGGGCAACCAAGACTAGCATTCGCTGCCGACCCTCGCCGGACGACCGAGACTAGCCGAACGGCACGCCATTTGGATTTGCTTTCAAACCTGACATCCTCGCTCACCAGAGAGGATGGATCGCTTCACCACCTGACTTCAACGAGTGGACCCTATGCGGGCATCTGCGTCTTTTGACACAGATTAATTCGGCGTAGATTGGCTTTTGTGCGTCAGTTATCAAAATATAGCGAATATAACCTCCGGTGTATCACCAAAGCGACTGGAACGAATAAAAGTGCAGCTTGCTTTGCGATTTGGGATATGGAGGCTCGGCAGTTATCGTGGTCAAAGCTGTAATGATTTCAAACTCTTATTTTGCCTTGTGCAGCACAACAGCGAGACTCCACGTTACGTCATGGTCCAGTGCGTCGAATAAGTAAGCCGATTAATTTATAACGTTCGTTTCCGGCAGGAGTCTGATGGTGTCCTCCTGTCGGGACTTGGTGTACGAGTACAGTTCGAGCGAAGAGTCGGAGGGCTCGCGGAAGCCGTGTCGACCCTCGGTGGGGCGGTGTCTCAGCGCCGCCACGTCGGAGACCACCCTGCCCCCCGCACGACGGTCCGCCAGCCCGTCGCCGCCTGGCGGCGGTGTCTTAAGCTCCAGTAGCAACATCTACCGACAGAGAGCAGCAGGGGTATCGCGACGCTCGGCCGCTCCGTGCCTGAGCAGGCAGAAGCGGGCTTCGGTGCCCAGCCTCGTGGCTCCCCGCAAACAGCTGGAGAAGGAGTTTGGGGGCGGCAGCAGCACCGGCAGCTCTTCGCTCTCAAACCTAACATCTACGCTCACCAGAGAGGGTGGGTCGCTTAACGACATCAGTATCCGCAGCATGTCACTTGCGCGACAACGAGCCCAACGGTCGTGGTGTCACACACATGAAAATGGCAAGCATTACGATAACATGAACGTACATCGCGTGGCTCTTTTCGAGTTTTAACTGTCTAACGCTGTATTCCGGTGTTTTTTTATCGCATGCATTGGCGACCGAGCTCTACCCCAAGGAGCTGACGACAATCGGTACAGCGCTTACCGCCTCTCTCGAATGGCCCCATGTCTCTCCCCAACACTCATCTGCATGCGTTTGACTGACGAGCGTTGCCGACAGGCCAGCTGCTGCCGGCGCTGCTGACGGGCCTGCAGCGGGCCTCTGTAGGTCTGAGGCAGACCTCGGCCCGTGTCACGGACCTGGAAGGCCGGCTGGGCGGCACCGAGAGGAACATGACAGCCGCCAGAGCCGACATGGCCAGGATACAGGTCAGATTGGTCAGCTTCGGCGGTCTCGACTCAGGGACGGACGCACAGTCCTGAGGGTGGTCGGCTTGTGCGTAGTTAGCTTCTGGGCTTTTGGTGATTTCAACAGTGCGTTCTTATAGCCCCCAGCCGCCTTCTTGGGAAAAGTTCGACAAAAAGCGATGCAGCCCAGCGAGCCATTATCTGGCACGCTTCAAACCGAACTTAGCATGTTGCATTCGCTTTGTGGCACGTGAAAGCTGTCGGCTGCATTCGTTACCAAAAAAGGTCGCGTTCCGCCTTGAGAATGAGTTGAAATACATCTGACTGAGCTTTACCCTGTGTCGAGACGCTAAGCTCCCGCAAGCTGAGTATTGCCTCGTGTCGAGAGGCTAAGCTCCCGCACGCTGAGCATTGCACTGTGTCGAGAGGCTGAGCTCCCGCAGGCTGAGCATCACCCTGTGTCGAGAGGCTGAGCTCCCGCAGGCTGAACATTGCCCTGCATCGGGAGGCTGAGCTACCGCAGGCTGAGCATTGTCCTGTGTCGGGAGGCAAAGCTCCCACAGGCTGAGCATTGCCCTGTGTCGAGAGGCTAAGCTCCCGCAGGCTGAGTATTGCCCTTTGTCGAGAGACTGAGCTTACGCAAGCTGAGCATTGCTCTGTGTCGAGAGGTTAAGCTGCCTCAGGCTGAGCATTGCTCTGTGTCGAGGGGCTGAGCTCCCACAGGCTGAGCATTGCTCTGTGTCGAGGGGCTGAGCTCCCGCAGGCTGAGTATTGCCCTGTGTCGAGGGGCTGAGCTCCCGCAGGCTGAGCATTGCTCTGTGTCGGGGGGCCGAGCTCCCACAGGCTGAGCATTACCCTGCGTCGGGAGACTGAGCTTTCACAGGCTGAGCTAAGCCGCTCAGCTCGGGCAATTTCTAGCACTCTTACAACATTATCTAACCTGGATTTCCCACGCAGGACAATGTAACGTCCCTGCAGATCATCGTGGCAACAACTAGTGGCAAGATGGCTGCTTTCGCCGAAATGTTCCAAACAGTGGATGAACAACTTCAGAATATGTGGATGGTGAGCTAGGCTACTCCTTTCATTTCGGGCGCAATTATCTTGCACTAGATGAAGAATCATCTGTGTCCGAGGTCTGCTTCGTTTTAGCGACATCATGGGAGGGCGTTGTGTTTTTTTGACTCACATAACTAACCACAGCATGCATTACAAAAATGAACTACGCTTTAAGCATCAACGAATCTGAGGAAGTGCTAGAAAAGCACACGCGACCAATGCTCGTTACCAATGGACAATGACTATCAGTGTGTCAAAGCGTCATCTCACTATAATCATTAACCATTCGACTTATGCAAGCTAAGCTTCAACGTGGAGCTTCGCACTATGCAACAGAGTTCGCTTCGGCCCGGTTGTCACCGGCCAGTAGCATGACTGCGCTAGCTCGTGACGCTGACGTCCGCCGTGCCGCGCCTCCAGGAGATGGAAGCCGTCAACGCCAACGTGCACCACGTGATGCACAAGACGCTGGAGCACCAGCGCCAGAACGAGAAGCTGTTCGGCCAGCTGGAGGCGCTGCGGGACCAGCTGCTGGAGCGGCGGCAGGGACGGGACGCTCCCGGCTCCGCTGTCACCAGGGGACGCCACCGTCCGCAGCCGCCCGAGGGCGTCCAGACGGAGGGGACAATGGGACCGGCGGCGGCGGCGGCCGGCGCCCGGGCCGTTGGAGTGGAGAGCACGTGCGATCTCAGCGCCGTCGATGACCTCCTGTCCAACACGCTGGTCATATGACGAGCGGGGCGTGACCTCAGGAGGCTGGCGGTGCAGCCAGGGACCCAGCGCAGCCGCGGTACTGATCACAGACTGGCAGCAGCGAGGCCGGCCGGTGCCAATGCATTTCCGCAGCCACGTTCCAATAATGTTAATAGCGCGTAGTCACTTGTGGTGGGGCCAGTGTGAAGTTGTTTTGCGTTCCACCTGAGACATTACCAAGGTTACATTTAACTGGAAGTCGTTGCAGCCACCTGCTGAAACGATGTGCATGCTTTCCAGCGAGTAATTGGTCGGGTTCATGCATTGAAGGTGCCCGTGTGAAGAGAGCGCTCTCGTGCCTTGGCTGAAGATGCCGGCCGCGCACCTGCGCTCGCCGAGTAGGAGGTGCGCAAAGTAAACTGCTGTTTATGTTCAGGTTTTATTTTTTGCTATTGAGGAATTTATCTACGGTAGGACATTTGAACTAAACCATGGAATCAGCCTAGAATAAATGAAGATGGTGGAATCGTTCGGCTGGGATCGGGTCCTCTGTGCACCACACGTGACAAATGTACGCTGGAACGTGATAGACAACACATGTCGAGAGCAAAACAGCACCTCAGAGTCATCAAAAATGGAATGAAACGACCACTCTGCTTCAAATCCATGCTACGGAAGGTCTGCTACAGAAACAAGGTAGCAGCACGGGGTCAAACATGAAATAACATCTTAGCACGAGCTTCCCTAGCAGAGCTTTCACGAAACTCCCTCCAACCACACGGCCCTGGAAGCACGGCGTTGAGAGTCAAAGGCACATTATAGCAACCATGGGAACGGGGCAGATAGTAAAGCTGACACATGTTATGCTCCCTGACGCGAGCTGGCCGTTGACGTGGATGGACCCTGCTTGCTCCGTAACATGCTTTCATCGTCCCATGGAGCACCGAAGGCGGGGATCGTGAAAGCTGGGAGGTTTCAAACCCCGAAATAGCTTCCAAATCTGTGTTACGTTTGTCTGATGCAGCATACCTTCTGCACCAACAATGCCCAACCTCGCAGCGGAAAGTAACCCAATTTAATCAGTCATGAGGTTTAAGTTGTTGAATCAACTTTGTTCGTGGCGATTTGCGTGGAAATACGCATTGCATCCTGTAAAATACCTGGTTCTGATACTGGAATTGATTCATTCCATTCGTTCTGAAACATTTGTTCTAAATCTATTGGGTGGATGCACTTATAGAGTCGGCGCTTACACTCAGCAGCACCTGTGGCGTGAGCGCCGTCCCCACCGTCCGATTGCGAGGGCCCCGGCGAAGGGCAGATTTTGCGGCGAAAGCCTGACGTGCTGCGCTGCCCGACACGGTCCGTCTTGCCCTCTGACGCCACCTAACCTTTAACGCGACCGCTGCCACCGGCCGCAGGCCATCTCAGCCAGAGGCAAATAGTGAGCGCATAATGTAACTCGGACCAACCCCGCCATGGGTAAGTAAAAAGACACGCGCGCCAGCGCGTCTATGGGAGCGGACAATCATGAGCATCCTACCATACGGATCGTGCACATCTAATCATGCTCACTTCCAAACATCTGCTTGTCATCCTCACCATCTTGTAAAGATTCGCAGCATGGAAGACTGAAGCTAACACGCATCACTCGCACTGTCCCCGAGATAAAGACGGTCAACGCCGTTTGATCGCCGAAGCGAGCGGACAACATTGGTAAGAACATCACAAACGCTCCGCAGCAATACACTTTTCGTTTTCATCGCCTTGGTATAGAGTCACAAATGAGCTGCCTCATCTAAAACACTGTGTTATGATACCCCGGAATGCTGGAATATTGCTGATGTCCTGGAACTCTTTTACAACACAACGGAATTCGCTCAAGGTCACCGCAGGGGCCACAAGCCTCAGCGGCGGACGGCAGAAGCGTGTCCAGCAGCATTGTCCCGCCGCACAGAACATTACTCAGCTGCTCAGCGGCCCGACCGGAAGCCACCATCACGGTTCGGCACCATGGCGCTCGCAGCGCCCTCCACTACGGCTCGAAGGCTGGGTTCTCGAGGCCGCCGCTGGGTGGCGCCACTGCGTCTCCGTTACCAAGCGCCTCTACGGTCGGCCTGCCCTCTGAAATCACGGCGGTAAACAAATTAGCACCGTTCAGTTCTAGACCCAGGACGCCACAGCAGTCACCTGGCCTGCTACAGAATGCATGTCAAAATGTTAACCTGAAGCTTGCATCCTATCGTTCGGGTGATGTGGTCTTTCCCGTAACGCGGTTTTTCACAGCACGACGCAAAAACTATACAGGCATAACGGTATCTGGACTATTCCACCCGGCCAAAGGTGAGCCTTATTTGCCGTCAGATGATGGTTTGTACGTGCGATATCATCTTAGCTGCCGTCAGATTTGCACACAATCGCCGCAAGTTGCTGTTACACGTAGCCAAGTGAGTACGGACGGAATGAGTGGGCGACGGAGGGGCGGTACTTCACTCGGTGTTACGCGACTTACATCGTCTTGCGACACCGCACGGGATAAGCTGAGTACAACTTATTCTTATCATTGTTTTGCTTATACGTAAGGAGTTATTTGACCTAAGATTATCTCATAATCATAACCACTCAATTGCGGAGAAAGCCCATCTCGGTGGAGAAAGGCGGTTTAACACCATCCTTACCACCATCCAGCTTAACCACCGGGTACTCTTCACTTCCTTCGGGAGGCTTGTACAGTATCCAAGCCAAGTTATAGAAGACGAATGAAGCAAATTTCCAACAAAGCGTGGCGCCCAACAGGTATCTGGAAAGGCAGTTGCGCGTTACAGCGCAAGGAACGTGGTGCTAATCTCTCACGCAGAAAAGTTGTTGAATAGCTGGTAAGACATTAGCCGTGCCTTTTCGCCATTGCGTTATTAACGCAAACTGCACATTTAGCTGTCGGTGCCGCAGCGTTGCCATCACAATGCGCCGCAGCTGTGGGGATGTTTTAACCACAGGTGTTATATCTGCGACATAAACGCAATGTAACACCCGTGACAGTGAGTGGAAGTTCCACTCATTGATTGGGTACGGTTCCACTTGTTTCGAGCACCAATCAAAGTCGGACGATAGGCGAAAATCTCCGACACAAGGCCGCAATGCAATGTTTTGCCTTGAACGGGAAGGGAGGTTGTCTCTGGGCCGAGTCCTCCGCCCACAGCCAGGAACGGTCGGACTCTCCACCCACAGCCAGGAACGGTCGGGCTCTCCACCCACAGCCAGGAACGGTCAGGCTCTCCATCCACAGCAAGGAAAGGTGTGGCCTCGAACCGGTTCTGTCAGCTAATCCCGCAGACATGTAGGTAGCGGTTATAGCATGTAGGTAGCACATGTAGGTAGCGGAGGCGTTTAACACCGAAATGTGCACGTAGCGGTTATAACGGAATGAAGAAAAGGAGCGGTAAATGTCACTACGGCGTCCAGTTATTTAACCACCGTAGTCTCTGTCCAGACGCAGACAAATGTTCACATTGCAGTCTTTGAAGGCTTTATTTTGGCATGAAAAACTCACGGCAGTTTGAACAAACCTTGAAAAATCACGACAGCCGTCGTTTTGTTTTGAACTATCAAATGCGATTGAGCGAAATCTTTAAAGCTTACTCCCCAAAAGCCCAGTCTGACAAGGTCAACGGGTTTCGACGGTAGTCCCTCTATTGCGGGAATTTTTCCAATTTTCATCGTTTTCTTTCACGTGGAAGTCGTCCAGTGGAAAACGACGCACCAAAGCCATCCACACCCCGCTCGTCCACCAAGATGACGTCTTCTAGTTCTTACCTGCTCATCCACCAGTTGTCGTAGACGAGACAGGCGCCGGGCCGGTCGCAGGGCGTCACCCACAGCAGGCAGGAGCGGGTCGATGAGCGTTCCGAAGATAATGGGCCCAGGGATGGTGCCCACTACGCGCAGCACCGTGCTCGAGATGCCCATCGCCAGAGAACGCTGCCGGGGCGCCACCGACCTACGACCCGCGGTCAACAGACTACGGTCAACGGTCAACGGTCAGGGGTCAGGGGGTCAGGGGTCAGCGTTCAGCGGTCAGCGGCCAGCGGTCAGCAGTTCAGCAGTCAGCAGTCAGCAGTCAGCAGCTAGCAGTCAGCAGCTAGCAGTCAGCAGTTGGCAGTCAGCGGTCAGCAGTCAGCAGTTAGCAGTTGGCAGTCAGCGGTCAGCAGTCAGCAGTCGGTAGTCAGTGATCGGCAGTCGTAGTGGGCAGTCGGCAGTCAGAGGTTAGAGAGGTCAGCAGTCAGCGTTCAGCAGTCAACAGTCGGTAGTCAGTGATCGGCAGTCGTAGTGAGCAGTCGGCAGTCAGGGGTTAGAGAGGTCAGCAGTCAGCGGTCAGAGTTTTAACAGTCAGAGATCAGTGGACAGTGGTCAGCAGTCAAAGGCTAGAGGCCAGATGTCAGCGATCAGAAATCAGAGGTCAGTGGCTAGGTTGGCGGTCAGAGGTCGTGGTCAACGGTAAGATGTTGGAGGTCAGTGGGCAGCGGTTAGTGGTCAGAGACCAGAGGTCGGAGACAAGAAGTCAGAGGCCAGAGGTCAGAGGTCCGAGTCAATGGTCAGAGGTGGAACCTGCGCCGTGGGGCGCCAGCATCAAGCCAGCGCGTTATTATCCGGACATAAGTAAAGAGAAGTCAGCAGGGGAGAGAGAGTGTCACAACACCACGAGTTAAACGCACAGTCAGGCAGACAGCTTTGACGGAGTGGATTACGCCAAAAAAACTTAAACTTGAACCAAAATGATATGCTATTCTGACATGCTTCTGCAAAGAGATGTAAGCTATCTGTTACACCGTTCCCTCAAAAAGACAGAACAAGAAGAACTTTTTAAGAAAATTTAAAACCCTTTGCAGTAGGCGCTGCAATGGACAGCAGCCTTCGGTTAAAAAACTTAAATTTTGGAGGGAGAATCATTCGCCGCATTAGCAAACATGGTACAAATTTGCATGATGATAATATTATATCCGCGCATATGGCATTTGCGGATGTGAATTCTAGTGTTGTCGCACCGAGCCTCTTGTACCGCTCCTTCCCAGCATTTCCCCACCGTGTTGGTTAGAGTTGCATTGCCTCCCTTCCATGCATGTAGACAGCAGCTGGAAGAGCTCTGTGGTGATAATTTAAACTGCTCGCAGTTCACTCACGCCCCTCATGTATCCAATAAAGACTTCTAGACAGCCCAGACAGGCCCCAGTTACGCCGCGCTTGCAGCGGCGCGGAGCTGGTATGGCGGCGCGTAACTGGGGCGGCCGGCCGCCGCGGCGCAATCAGCTGGGCTCAGCGGAGCGCACCTGACGATGGCCGTGGAGCTGGCGAGGTGCCGACGAACAGGCAGAAGGCGGCCACCGTCTGCACCACCACCAGCAGCGGTAGGTAGGGGCACGAGCTGCGACAGCGGCCACGCCGCGCCGGCTCCCGCGCCGGCTCCGGGAAACAGCCGCACGAGCTCGCCACCCTGAAAACGGACACGGGTGACCTCGGGTCAACGGCAAACGTTTGGGGGGGGGGGGGGGGAGGGCAGATCGCAGGGAGGCAGGGGTCGGACACAGCCTCACCGGCGCCAGCGTATCAGCCGACTGTTTCTCTCCAGCAGGGAGTCAACCAAAACTGGGACAGCGTGCAAGACATAAATCGCGATCGCGATAATAGATTGCGGCAAACTACTGTTCACCTTTCGCCGCAACATCTCCACTTATGTGACATAAATGCCAATTATGTTTTTCTTTCGTATCAGGCCATTGCCTTTTCACATATCGGAATAGCAGCCACTATTGTCCATCGGTGAACGAGCCTAAGTCTAGCGGGAGAATGCGGACAGAATCCGTTCGTTTATGCATTTTGTCCGGGTGGACTAAAAAGAGTTAATGCCAGTCCCATATCACTTCATGAACTTTGAGCTCAACACACCGTAGCCTAGAGTATTATGTACAGTGAGCTTGGCGGGCAGTGGTGCACTTCGATGCGAAGGCGACAGTCGACAATCGACTACATGCCACCGCAAGGCTTGCTGCATTCGGGAGGAAATGTTAACTGCCTGGCTGAGAGCACAACACGCGTTGCGGCGGCGGAGCCATGCAGCAGATATCGGAGGGATAAATCGGGACCAGTTCCCTCCTAGCTTGCACTGCAAGAGCGCATGCATCATAAACCAATAATTTGCACCGAGTCTTCTATTTATCAACGACCTACTAAGAACATCAAATCAGAATATCCGACCTGGTCATGTTGAATTAGCATTACACCATTAATGCCTCCCTTATTCAGCGTC